AACAAGCTCTGATCGATTACTTTTTTCTGTCGTCTGCTTCAGTTCCCTAACAGAGTGTGCTGTCTTTCGTAACCCAGGCGACGACGTGGAAAGTTCGATGACAGCAATGGTATGTGGTTAAGTTTAACGGAGGCCTTGCAACGGTCCCAACCCGTCTTCGTTATTATTCAAGCTTGAGACCATCAATGTCGGCGTTTAGATGCTTGCTGCGTATTTTGTTTTTGCACCATAATTTACTGGCATGCCGTATGCGGTCAACTGATACTTTTATTCATACATCGGAAACGTATGTCTTTGGATTTGTTTCGTATTATGATATTTTGTTTTCGTATCTTGTAGCCATTCTTTGCTTAGGGCACTTTTGGGAGATGAAAAGGCGCGATTAGGTCTGGCGTTTATGTATGAGCCTCCGGCAGGGCTTAAAAAGGAAGAAAAGGAGATCAATCCGGAACTGGAACCGAAATTCGAGTGGCAAAGGAAATACAACGCTCCGAGAGAATCGTAAGCATTTATTCATTAACTAATTTGAATTTAACCTTCTTCGTGTCTACCACCTTCGTTTGACACAGTGTTTCAAAGTTGGTGAATAATCGTATTTACTTGTAGTTGGGCGAAAGGAGACGATAGCATCCGTGATCAACCGTTTGGAATTCAAGTTCGTAACGTCCGCTGTGTGAAGTGCCACAAATGGGGCCACATAAACACTGACCGAGAATGTCCCCTTTTTAACATGTCAGGCAATTACGATACACCGGGATGTAAGTGAACTCTAAATGTTTTATGCGATGTCAAAAAATTTGCAATTGCGGTACGTTGCAGATAACACCAATCCATCGGATTTGATCAAGGAATTAAAGAAGGAAAAGGAACAAGCAAACGAGGCAGCAGCATCATCTTCAGTTACCCACCCTACCGTTAACGAGTCTGAAGAAACAGAAGAATCCAGCTCGAAAGGTAGGAAAAAGTTATTTTTTGAATATCGTAGATTAGGCCAATAAATAACTTGTAAACTGAAGTTCGTAACGTTCGACACTTTCTAGCACTTTACGCCAATATTGTGATTCTTTCAGTTATAATGATCTTAACTAATCCTTTACAGCGACCAGCTATTTAACATTTTTTTCGTTCACTTGAGAGCTAGACACTGGACATTGCAAACGTACTGCCTATGGAATGAAGGTTGGAAAGAAAATACTTTTACTGATTCTACGATTAGTATACATCGCTGATTGATTTCTAGAGAGAAGATTCAACATAAATAAAGTTGACCGTTTAGTTTTCAATCACAGGGGGGCAGCTGCTTATCAATGGCAAGTATTATATAGAATAGAATCGATTTTGACAAAGGGGAAAGTTTTGGGAATGACAACATTAGAACGAACATATAGAGAGATTACTAGGCAAGAAGTGCTGACAAGAATATCTATGTCATTTATTCAAAGTGCTAGCATTTGTAGTAACATGTATTAATAAATCTGTGTTCTTTCTTTTCACAGGGTTACTAATTTTGTAATTTTTAGGTCGCTTTGGTATACCTCATTTATCTTTCATTCTTTTCGTTATTCCATATCGATTCAGGCATTGATTTACCGTACTAAACTTCTCCTCCAAACGGGGGTACGGCGTTGGCTATATCCATTGTAATTCATTGTCGGATGTGGAAGTGATTATTAAGACATGATCCATGATGATAGTGATTGTAAATTTCCTGATTCCACGTTGCATAACTCTGATTAATAATGAAGAAAAATATTCCAATTTTATAAATTTTCTTTGTTTATAGTTTTTTAAGTTTAACTTAAAATCGGTGAAAATCCCCTGGAAATGTTCTTCTGGAAGGCACACTTTTTAGTCTAACAGCAAATAACTTAATTTGTAAACAGCGACTGTGTAAATTTTATCGACCTCAGATTAAACTGCAAATGAGGTGATATTCAAATAATTTCGCTTAATTTTATAGTTTCAGTGAATTCACAATTTTATGCTCCTTAAGTTTAATTTCTTCTAGTATTGATTTATTATTTGATCATTAACTTGTTTTTTGTTTCTGAACTATTTTCATTTAGTAGTGGTTTTACCGTAAGTCATAGTTGGTATTCTTTGAAGTGATAGTGCTCCTTATTTGTAGAATTTGAGATTTTCACCAACAAAAGTTGTAGCCTTACGTCTCTCTAAAATTAAGTACAGATACCCCGTAAAACGTTGATTATAATACGACGTAAGCAACCAAAAAATAATGATCATGAGACGGAGAAAAGCATCGCTTAGCGACATCTGTCAGTTTACTTGACGGAAACGTTGCGATAGCTACATCATCTGGGATATTGCCAGCAGAGCACTGTTTGTAGTAGTGAAAACAGGCAGAGTCATAACGTTTTGACTTGCAGAAGAATTCGTTTTACTCTCAAGATGTGTACATAAAAGGGCGAAATGGTTTGAGCATTATATGATTACGTGAAAATATCAGATCACTGTGTAGTTCCACCCCAATTACACCCAACTTGTAGAGCACCATATTGAGCTCCCGTCCCCACCTCAGCTGTGCCTTGGTTTTTTGTTCTGTGCTTTTTGGGCATATGAGAATGATGAGATAAATTCTTTGCTGACTAAAGCGAACAAAGACTCCACTCCTTGAGTTAATGATGACCGCCATTGGTGTATAATTTTTGGCATATTTTGCTTCATGAGCTAACAATGCAATCTAATGCATCTTTGGGTCGATTTGAACAAGGGCGGTCCTCTTGCACGCTGTATATCGTAGCCTCATCATTAAGTTCGTTACTCGATGATATTAGACGATTTCTCAAAATGCTACGTAAATCAGACTAAGTCAGACATTTAAGCGACGCTCATGTCTTTCGAGAATAATCGTTGACTCCCTATTTTTACTAGTAGATGAACATGGCTATCAGAAATGTTTATCCACGAATTATGTTGTTCCAAGTATTCATCGTTACTAGTATTGAACCAGTGTAACACAATCAACAGAAGATCGTACTCACAGTCGAAAGATCATGGTGTGTGCTACTTGTTGTCATCTTCATGACGGTTCGATTAATCGAAGACTAATCATATCCTATTTGCAAATAAAATGTTCCTTAACTGTTGCAGCAAAGGACATGGTTCTTGTTACTAGCGTATGTGCTTCTATGATGTTGCGCGAGCTCTTGAAATTGTCTCCGGATCTTTTGCACCTGTTCGTTGGTTCTTATGATGGAAACATTTTCTGTAGATCGTGTTTTCTTATGAGCCTTATGGCTCATCTGTCACAGCCGCTGATGTCGTGGTTCTTCGGGGAGGTCCTGCAGTTTAATGGTTTTCACTAGGCGATCTTTCGAAACTCTGTGGTGCTACCGGACATTCAGGATTGTTCAAAACCAGCGTCTTGGAACCGGACCTGTGACGCTTTAGGACCGCAGCTGTCTCCAGGCCCCACATGAGTTTGGAAAAGACCGCCGCTTTCATGATGGTGATCTTCGTCTTCAAAGAATCTTTATTGCTTCTGCGGTCGAGCCATTCTACTTTATCTCTACGGCACCTGAAGCTCTTATAACCCATATCTTCGCTGTGTTGACTTATAGTCCTACAACAGCTGCCTTTGCAGACACAGGCGATGAGCTTTCATGGACTACTTTCAGGTCACTCGGCAGAATAACAATTTCTTCTTACTCCAGGTCGGTAGAGTGGATGGCTGGGAAACTGGAGTTTTTTCTTAGTTTGTTATTTCAAACATGTTCTTATTCGCGATGTTGAATGGCAGCACTGAAAGCATTTCCCTTGACGAGCTCAATTTGATATTTTGAGCCAGTTAGGCAGGCTCACCTTCACCGCTGACAGAACAAGAAATTCCTTTATGCGATGTTTCCATCAGGTTGACGATATTTCCTTGGGATCCATAGTGACGCACAATCCGCCACAAAATGTGACGGTTGACTGAGTCGAAGATTTGACGCTGAGGTCCGGAAAAGTTGAGTTTGAGAAGAGTTGGAACTTGGCAATCCTCGACCATTCGTCGAAGCACGAAGATATTTTCCGTGCACGCACGACCAGTTCGAAACCCCACTTTGTTTGTTCCCAGCGGCACCTCCACCTTCTTTAGTTTGCTGAGGATGATCTATGTGAACACCTCCAGAGTCTCAGAATGATCCATCGATAGTCTGAATGATTATCCCGTTTGAAATTGGATATTATCATTCCTTTTTTCTGTTCTGGGCTAATCGTGCCACGAACTCTTCTCAAAGACCTTCTGTATCCTGATGATCAGGTCTCATCCTCCGCACTTCAACAGTTCTTCACTCGGCCATTCTGCTCGCAAGACTGAATTTCGCGCAAGCGTT